GCCTGCTCTTGCGCCTACAGAAGCTTGAGCTCGAATGCCGCGGGACGTCATTTGTTGTGGTCCAACACTGCGGGCATGATTCACAGCCCCAGGTGATGCGCTCCTTCTCTGAGCTGCGCCTGCTGATGCACTCCATCCTCAGCTGCATCTTGGAACAATTTCAGGTTCCTCTTGGGTGGCATTTCTGTGTCAGCTGAATCCTCCTGCACCTCTGAAATTATGGCCTGAAGCTTGAGCTGTCCAGCTTGCTCAGGTTGACCGGCTTGCTTGTCTGCGTTCAGAGTGATGCATAGCAAGCCGGGGGAGCTGTGTCAGTTACATCTGTATGTCCGGAAGGTAATTTGCAGAACGCGGGCTCCCCGTGAGTTTCCCTGTTGATCCACAATTTCCTTGTCGATTTCTGGGATGCCGTGGTTCAAACACTAAGCCAGCGGCGAAGTGGAGGCATTCGCCTTCCGCCCAGGCATCCGCTCTCTTGTGTGGGTCGTGGCAGTGCTGTGCCTGATGCTGGGCTTGTGCCCTGGCTGCAGCTACGGCTTTCAGAGTGACTAGCGAGTGGGCAGCAGAGGCAGGCGCTGTCTTTAGACCAAGATCAGATCAGGAGATGCAGTTGAGGTGTGGTAGTGCTGGTGGCAGTGGCAGTGGTGGTTGTAGTGGTGGTCGTGGTGGTAGTGACGTTGGTGGTAGTAGTGGAAGTGATGGCACCGTTAACGCAGCAAGCATGTGCCAGATGCTCGAGCAAATGACTCACCTGACCTCACCTGACTGAAACACCAAGCAACCTGTTTCCGCGAGGGTGTTTCAAGAGGCCGAGGTCGCAAAGGCAATGAGTCACATGGGGGGTCTGACTGCGGGTTTATGGAGGATTCCCCTAAAAGGGACCTTTCCTCTGTTGGCGCCGCGCCGCTTGGTGGCATCTAAGTTGAGCCTCTTGGCTATGTCAAGGTTCAGATAGCTTCCCTCCCCATAGCCCCCTTTGCTTGAACTCCCACTTTTACCAGCTGATTTCCCGGGTTTTGCGTGCATTTTTGACAGCTAATTTCACTTGCTTCATGTGGCTTTTGGACTTCTTGGCCCCCCTTTCCAGCCCTTCGGACAGGTTCGCGGTGCTCTTCACCAGCGCGGCGGGGTCCACCATGGACAGCGTGGAGCGGCGCCAAGCCCCGGAGAACGCGGAGCTGGTGAAGCGCTTCGGCACCTTGGACCGCTCCATCCTGGAGCTCTACATGGCCATGACCGGAGGCAGAGATGCGTCCAGCGGACGTTTTTTTTCTTCTTCAACACCGCTGGTTTTCTCGGACCTCCCCTTTCGACCAAAAAGCACCTAGGGTGCTGACATACCCTGGTCGCACGCGTGACTTGCCGGGTTCCTCATGCTGGCCATGTTGGGCTTTTCTCGGCTTTTGCCACCCTTGAGTTTGCAGTTCTGTCTTCTGTCGCCGCGAACAGTAGAGACTTGAGCACTGAACACTCCCAAAGTCTGCAGAAGATTTGCCAGTATTTGGGGCCAACCAGAGGTCCATATTTTCGGCAACAAAGCTGCGCCACCCAGTCAAATTTGAAACGCTCTTTAACTTGAACTGGGTAGCGTCGAAGCTGAGGGCTGCGTGTTGCCGAATCGGAGTGTAGATCAAGCCATGATAAGAGAAAACATTCCATTGCCAACCTCAGTTCGAGAGCGCGTCTCATCAATCACTGGGCAGCTCAAAGCTCGTCGCATACAAGTTCATTTAGTTTTAGTCTTGTAAGCCAATTTGGGCAGTCAGACCAGTTCAAACAACACCATCTTGCCCTTTTACTTTTGTCTGTTTGCTCTGAGAGGCACTGACTGGTCCGTGCAGTACGAGGCGCGTGCCGAGTTTACCCGAGAGTTGAAGCCGATTTCGCTTCTGCTTTTTTTTCCTTTTTTTTCTTTTTTAATCCTGATCATATTGTAAGGCCCTTCAGGCTTTCTTCTGTGGGATGTTTTGGCTGATCTCCAGATCGGTCTGCTTGGCACACACGCCTACCCGAACAGAGGTCCCAAGCCATGAGCCAGGCCATCAACCCTCTGCCGGAGCTGTTCCACGGACTGTTCCTGGCACCTTTGGCCAGGAGAATTGAGGGGAGGGCGGGCGGTTTTGCGATGTTGGCAAGTACCGGGCTTGTTAGCACTGCTGGTGGGCACAGTGGGGAGTTGGTTTTGAGTGGATGCCCACTCAAACAGAAAGGGCTGCCGATTCTGCCAGGGGCACTGAACTCCTGTCTCCAGCTGCCTTGGTTTCCCTTCCAGATGACCGCCGAACATTCGACGAAAGAGCAGGGCTTTCTTTTAGCCACGAGTACTGCTGGGCTGCGTTTTTTTTTTTTTTTTGCGTCGGACGTTTGGAGCGTTTTGGGGTTCTCCCGGCCGAGGTGTACATCACCTTCAGCATCTATGCGCTCGCAAATGTGGTGACTGGCATCTTCCTGGAGAACGCCAGGAGCTCGGGGAAGAAGGACCGGGAGCACGTGATCCAAG